CAATTACCCCAAAATACAGCACTAAAAGGCAAAAACAAGGCTAGAAGTCCCAGAACACAGGCAAAAAAGCAAAGAAAAACCTAACAATTACCCCAAAATACAGCAAAAATGTCAAAAACAAGGCTAGAAGTCCCAGAACACAGGCAAAAAAGCAAAGAAAAACCTAACAATTACCCCAAAATACAGCAAAAATGTCAAAAACAATGCTGAAAATGACCCCAAAAGGCTCCCCGCAGACTGGAGGGTGGGTCCATCTGCGTTAGCTGATAGCTGAGCCCCTCCCTAAAGGCCCAAACTGCTGCTAAACTCTGGAAAACAGGCCGTAGAAAATCATCCTATTTCACCTCATTGGTCTAAAAAATATTTTTGATATGGACTTAATTATCTGCAAATAATATGTTATTTCTGAGTGTGTGTGCTGTTCTAGTGACTGGTGGAGTAATCATGTAATAATTCCTTATGACTAGATTTTGTTTATAATTTTGTATATTGAAGTGGACATGTTAAGAGCAATTTGAAAGAAAAAATATAAAATATGATTAAATTAAATGTTTGTGTTTATTTGATTCGTATTGAAGACACTTAAGATAAAATAAGAATAATTAATTAATTATTAATAATTTTGCCTATTGAAGTGGACATGTTAAGAGCAATTTGAAAGAAAAAATATAAAATATGATTAAATTAAATTTTTGTGTTTATTTGATTCGTATTGAAGACACTTAAGATAAAATAAGAATAATTAATTAATTATTAATAATTTTGCCTATTGAAGTGGACATGTTAAGTGCAATTTGAAAGAAAAAATATAAAATAGGAATAAATTCAATTTTTGTGTTTATTTGATTCGTATTGAAGACACTTAAGATAAAATAAGAATAATTAATTAATTATTAATAATTTTGCCTATTGAAGTGGACATGTTAAGAGCAATTTGAAAGAAAAAATATAAAATATGATTAAATTAAATTTCTGTGTTTATTTGATTCGTATTGAAGACACTTAAGATAAGATAAGAATAAAATAAGAATAACTATAGTGTTACTTTCAACTTTCAATGAAAAAATGTACCTTGGCTCAAAAAAGGTTGAAAAACACTGGCTTAGATTGTTGTTGTAAAGTTTAGCTTACTTTATCTTAGCTAAGCATAGTTGAGCTTAGTTTAGTTTATCTTAGCGTAGTTCATCCTAGCTTAGTTTAATTAACTTTATTTTAGCTAATCGTAATTTAGCTTACGTTAGCTTAGTTTATCTTAATTTATCTTATCTTAGTTTGGCTTACTTTATCTTAGTTACCCTTAATTTAGCTTGGTTCATCTTAGCTTTGCTTAGTTAAGCTCACTTTATCTTAGCAAAGCTTAGTTTAGCTTATCTTAGCTTAGCTGACTTTATCTTAGCTACGCTCAGTTTAGCTCAGTTTAACTTAGCTTATTGTAGCTAAGTTTATTTTAACAACAGTTATCTTAATTGATCTTATCTCGTTATAGTTTATCTTAGTTTAATCTTAGCTTAATTTATTGTAGTAAAGTTTAGTTTATCTTAGTTTAGTTTATCTTAGCTTATTGTAGCTACGTTTATTTTAGCCAAGCTTTCCTTAATTGATCTTATCTTAGTTTAAGTTATCTTCGCTTAGTTCATTTTAGCTTAGTTTAGCTTACTTTATCTTATCGTAGCCAAGTTTAGCTTAGCTTTTTAACTTATCGTAACTTAGCTCATCTTAGTTTAGCTCATTATAGCTTAGCTTATTATAGCCAAGCTTATTTTTATTTTATTTTATTGTAGCTTAGATTATTAGTTTAGCATATCTCAGCTTAGCTCATCTTAGTTTCGCTCATTGTAGCTTAGCTTATTTGAGCCATATTTATTGTTAACCCGATTCTTTAGTTGGAAACCTGAGAATAAACCAGAGTAGATCAAGAGTAAAAAAT